GAGGGCCTCGGACGATGGAAGACATGGAAGATCTTGGTTTATTCATGGTGGGGGAAGAGGGGTATAGTTGGTGAATATATATATGTACGTATTTACCCACACTTATTTGCCTTGCCTGGCCCAAAGGGAAGATGATTTGAGGAAACCTCTGTTTTATCTTCATTACTTTTCTGGAAGATTTTCGAAACCCACGCTTAATTTTTCATGGAGAAGCATGGTTCTTCTTTTTCAATATCAAATTCCATGAGGAGTTTCATCAGTCTTTTGAATAAAATATATGATGGGCTTCTTGAAATCATAGTCAAAATCTCGTATATTGTACCCGTAATATATTTTTTCCTTCAGCATCGAAGGACGAGGTTTTCTTTATTAAAGATTGTGGTTCTTTTCTGCTTCATGCAGGTTTATTCCTTGCGAAATTTTTACAATTTTCGCTTGGAATTTGGCGTGCTTGCTTTGTCATCGTCAGTGTGGACGATTCCCTCGCTTTCCGAACTATTTCCAAATTATATTTACAGCAATTGTAAAGGTACGTTTCCCCTGCGAAAAATTTGCGCAATTTTCCTCAATTTTCGCAGGATTCACGAGACATGCAAAATTCCTAATATTTTCAAGAGTAACCAATTTTAAATCTAAAGCATCAGATGCGCAATTACAGCTGTTTTGAAGGCACGTTTTTTCCGGGCGACAAATTTGCACAATTTTCCTCAATCTTCTCAAAATTCCCTCAATGTCGCTTTCGATGAAGCTCTGATAGATTTTGCATTCAGGATAGACACGCAAGACCTATGAAGAATGCCTAATTTTCGAATGGCAGTACTGTATATTTTGAGGCACACGAAATCATCGCCGATCTTCAGCTTTCAGTGTTGAATTCGCAATCACAGTACAGCCTTTTTGGCGGCACTTTTCTTGCGCACAATTTTCCTCTCTTTTCTCTAGCCTCCCAAAATATACTAAGCTCGAAATCAGAGAATTATGAAAGCAGGATGACTTGGGTAAATTTGGAAAAATCGTCGGTTAAAATCGTCAGCAATAAAAAGAATAAGAAAAGTAAGAGAACTACTCACACAACATTTTGATTACACTCTTGCGACCCTGGAGTTGTGCCCTTTCGGGACGCCCAGGCACCCGTGTGGCCCACGTGCTGGCCCGTCGGGTCTGGCTCCTCTCGATCCGCACCCACGAACTACACGGGGTGCCCGTATGTTGGTTGGCGTCCACTGCTGCGGCGCCGGCGGCGCCGCTGGCGGCTGTCGTTCCATTCAGCCCGGACGCCGTCCCGGCGCTGCCCGTGCACCGCCTTGCCATTTTGCAAGACTCGTGCAAAATGAATCCCATGCGTCCGTAGAGCACCATAATGAGGCCAAAGGGAATGCAGAAAAAGACCAGGGTGTAAACTGCGAAGAGCACCATCCAGACTTTGGACGGTCTGTTGAATGGGATCCCGCACCAGGCTGAGTCCTGGATTTGACTGCCTCCGACGTCTTCTAGATAGTTTACCTGGTATCAAAAGACAAAATGGGAAAAAAATTATGAGTCGTGGCGAAGTTAACGGGTGTCGCCCAGAAAAAAATCAACGATCCAAAATTTAAATCGATCGTGCTATTTGAGTGGATTGAATTATTACCTACAAAATTACCCTAAAATATTGAGTACGACTCCATTATACAATATTCAATTTGGAGTTCCCTCTCAGAATTTTAACATCCACGCTTATTTGAAAAATATGAACATAAAAATCTTTCCTAGAAATGGTGAAAGAAGTTCGCAAACATGTATTCCTATGTTTACGTACTGTGCATGAAATTGAACGACCAGCAAAAGGTTAAACACTGGAAACTTCTAAAGTACAGGATTCATGGTAAATCTTTTGGGTTACGGTTTAATTTTTCACCAATTTAATGCAATTTTTGCACAGGATGGCGAAAAGAAAAATAAACATTTCAGCGGATGATGAGATGAGATTCAGCGTTCGAGTAATCGTGTGGCAATTCCCATTGATATTTGAATTCAAAATACGAATGTTTCGAAAATATACCTCTACAGCTCACTCCATTGTTCCAAAAAATTATCGAAGCTAAAAAAAAAAAGGTTTTTATTATGGAAGCACACTGCCTCACCAAAAAGTGTTCGATGTTCTTCTTCCTTCACAAAGAGAAAATTACCGCCGATGACGAGATATTATGCATCTGTTTTTAGTCGATTTTATCATATTTTTGAAACTTTTATTTTTTTCAATTTCAATGACCTCTTCCGAAGTTGTAAAAAAATACTGTATATTGTATAATATTATCCTGGTGTTGGTTGGATGCAGGTCAGCTGTCCCAGTTCCAAGAGTTCTTGATGAACCATGCTTGAAACAATTTTCAGGCGTCCTAGATTTCATGGATTTGGAAGAAAAAAAGCAGCGGTCAAGCATTCCTGATTTTAAAAAAATACTGTATTCCGATAATTATCCATTTTTGTCTGCAGAAAGAATTTGGAGTATTTTGAGCATGTATCAATCAGGGTTAAAATCAATTAAATTGTACAATGTTCACACCAATCAATGACCGGGCGTCAACCCCGCTCCCTCTAATCTCTATGCAGTCTCGCTAATACCCTGACCTTATGGATAGACCAGATGGAAAAATTGAACACGGCATTGCTGCACTGTACGTCATTTCTTCCCATTTGACCTTGCGTGTCGAGAATGAGGTCAGCATACGGGACACAATAACCCCAAGCAAAAGGCGTGTATACGCGCTTGTTCGACAGAGACGATAGTCAAAGTCTGAACCTCTTCAACAGGAAACGTCGCCTTCGCTGTCGTTAATCCCTAATAGGTCAGCTAGTGGGCGTCACTCATCCATCTTGCTTCTGTGATATCCAGGGTTTAATGGTACCATCGCTGGTCCTGGGCGCGAGAAATAACGAGATGGGCTTTTCCACATCATTTTTCCTCCCGGGTCACTTCATTCAGCTGGGTTTAAACCTATAGTGACACATCCTGAGGGTCTCCCATGTTTGCCTGATTCTTTTTCCCTTTCATATTTTTTTCCTTCGAAAAGGACGGATTATTTTTAACTATGAGAAGAATCGAAAAGAAATGACGCACCTCTGCAGGTGTAGTCCAAAAGCCCTCACTAGGTCAAAAGCCCCCCCCTCCCTTGAATGCTCCCCATGCCAAAAGCCCCCCTTGGTGCAAAAATTGGGGATTACAGGTATTCTTGTAACTCTCGACGGTAAGCTGCACCTTTCATTTGTAGGCCTAGCACAAGGCCAAGTACCAATATGTTCGTAAGTTGAGCATATAAAGGGGTTCCTTATCTGTAGTGGTCATCAGTGATTCTTTGAATGTCAAAGCATCACCAGCTGCTGACTTCTGCAAAATCTACAGTTCACTTTGTTGACCCAATGGCTGGTGCACTTCAGATCATCAAAAATCAGAAGGGTGGTGAAGAGGCATGCTACAATGGCTATTTATTCATGGTTAAGAACAGAAATTCCAGTGCTAGGTCCTGGAAAGGTGCTAATAAAGAAGTATATGAGATATGAGGGCCACATCAAGAAGAAAATGACATTGAGAGCATCAGTGACACTGAGGAAGAGGCAGCAGAAGAAAATTTTGAAGATGATTATTTAACAGTCATTTTGAGAACTAATGAAACCAAGTGGTGGGAGGGGAATTGGGCTTTTGGCAGGGGTCTTCTGACCTAGGGGGGCTTTTGGTTGGTTGCCCACCTCTGCATATAGGACTATATAGAAACCACCAGACCAAACCGTACATCGATTATATGTGCGACGGCGAAATGGCGCCACAAAAATGAGAACCATTTTCTAGATTCAGTCCAAGAAAGATGAACTTCGGAAGAAGCAGGAGAACATTTCAGGAGATAGATCGTAATCAAATTAATGCACATTTTCATTTTGATTAGTAGATTATCAAGATGAAGCGTCCGACCTGGCATTTGAAAATATGACACGACGATAGGCAAGTACTGCATGTCGACATAAAAAAAGACGCGAAATATAGTCCTTTTCTTTTACCTGTTGTGTATATTTACACTTCTTTATATTTAAGATTCGGTGTCTCCTTTCGCTTGTTCGACAGAGACGATAGTCAAAGTCTGAACCTCTTCAACAGGAAACGTCGCCTTCGCTGTCGTTAATCCCTAATAGGTCAGCTAGTGGGCGTCACTCATCCATCTTGCTTCTGTGATATCCCGGGTTTAATGGTACCATCGCTGGTCCTGGGCGCGAGAAATAACGAGATGGGCTTTTCCACATCATTTTTCCTCCCGGGTCACTTCATTCAGCTGGGTTTAAACCTATAGTGACACGTCCTGAGGGTCTCCCATGTTTGCCTGATTCTTTTTTCCTTTCATTTTTTTTCCTTCAAAATAGACGGATTTTTTTAAAGAAATTTTTTGAAAAGAACTATTAAAAGAATCAAAGAAAAATGACGCACCTCTGCGGGTGTAATCAAAAAGCACCCCCCCCCTCTGTCAAAAGCCCCCTTTCGGTCAAAAGGTCCTCTCCTGAAAGCTCCCCTTGCCAAAAGCCCCCCTTGGTGCAAAAATTGGGGATTACAGGTATTCTTGTAACTCTCGATGGTAAGCGGCACCTTTCATTTGTAGGCCTAGCACAAGGCCAAGTACCAATATGTTCATAAGTTGAGTATATAAAGGGGTTCTTTATCTGCAGTGGTCATCAGTCATTCTTTGAATGTCAAAGCATCACCAGCTGCTGACTTCTGCAAAATCTACAGTTCACTTTGTTGACCCAATGGCTGGTGCACTTCAGATCATCAAAAACCAGAAGGGTGGTGAAGAGGCATGCTACAATGGCAATTTATTCATGGTTAAGAACAGAAATCCCAGTGCTATAGGTCCTGGAAAGGTGCTAATAAATAAGTATATGAGATATGAGGGCCACATCAAGAAGAAAATGACATTGAGAGCATCAGTGACACTGAGGAAGAGGCAGCAGAAGAAAAGTTTGAAGATGATTATCTAACAGTCATTTTGAGGACTAATGAACCCAAGTGGTGGGAGGGGGATTGGGCTTTTGGCAGGGGTCTTCTGACCTAGGGGGGCTTTTGGTTGGTTGCCCACCTCTGCATATAGGACTATATAGAAACCACAAGACCAAACCTTACATCGATTATATGTGCGACGGCGAAATGGCGCCACAAAAATGAGAACCATTTTCTAGATTCAGTCCAAAAAAGATGAACTTCGGAAGAAGCAGGAGAACATTTCAGGAGATAGATCGTAATCAAATTAATGCACATTTTCATTTTGATTAGTAGATTATCAAGAGGAAGCGTCCGACCTGGCATTTGAAAATATGACACGACGATAGGCAAGTACTGCATGTCGACATAAAAAAAGACGCGAAATATAGTCCTTTTCTTTTACCAAACATTCGCCTGCTTCCTTTTTTTCGTAGATGAGATCAATTGAAAGAAATCTCCCTTTGAATGATCCAATTTCCTGACGACATTCGAGAGATCGTCAGGACACTTGGGTACTTCTGTTAGCTCATCATCTTAACTTCCTGCGATTTATTGAGCGGCTTAATACGGGACTCTTCATATTTTCCAATTAAATGGTACCATTTTGAAGCTATAACGTGAGGAAAATTGCTTAAAATACAATTTAGATTATGTTTTATAACTTCCGAAAATGTTACTGATGGCGAAAAAGCTGAGAAAAATACAGAAGATGAGCAAGTTGTATTTCTATATTCTACAGTTCCACCAAATTACTAGATCCCCACAGAAGAAACTCTTGATTTTAATGAATGTTTAGTTTATAGAGCTTTTGGTTGCGTTTCACATAAGCAGGTGCAGAAATTTCGTATGTGAGGATGAAGAAAAATCTTTGAATGACTCAGGAAGTATTCTCTCAGCAACAAAAGATAGACATTTTGGATTCCCTTCATTAACGAAGTCTTACTTACGCAAACAGAGCAAAGATCCCATTAACAAGAATGAGCCAAGAATGATGAAGAATAGAGGAGGATGAGCACTAAACGACCCCAATTATGATTCACAATAATAATTCACCTACTAAAAGAATTTTATAGTAATATTTACCAATTTACATAAATACATTTAAACTTTCCAAGGTTCAACATTAAATATACATGCTAAGTGCTATCTACAGGTGCGCAGTCCTATACAAAGCCCAGAAATAGTCAAAGGTGGACCTCGTTTTGGCAATGTTTTAATGCCAAAATTGCTAAACATCGGAAAAAGATGGATATGTTTTAATTTGACAAAATTCAAAAATCGAATTTTAACTGTCATGTTGTTTTTAATTTAGAGACTAGGTCGTAGTTTGAATCATATCTTCAGCCACGAATACTCATTTTTGTCTAGGTATTTCAACATGCAGGACATCTGCACAGTTTGAGGCATCACTAAACAAAATTATAAAAAGTTAGCCAACATCACGTGTTCTTAATGAAGTGAAATCAAAGTTTGGCGCAATACCTGATGAACTGGACTAAGTGGTAAAATATCAAATTGAATTATTTGTAAATTAACACATGGATGGTGGAGGGTTTCTTTTCATTTCATGGCAGATTCAAGATATTTCTGGGGGCAGTGCATTCCAGTTTGACCCAAGGTCACTGAAATGATCCTAGGTTGTGAAGGACTAAGTTGGAAAAAAATCAAGAAGGCAAATTTTCTAATGTTTCTAGGAATCTCCCATACTAATTGCTATGCCACGAATGCAAGGAAAAAACCACCACCCCGTGAGGGATTTTGTTTATTTTTCATTCACATTTTTCTGCAGGATTAGAAAGAAATATTGGACTTTTTCCCAACTTTGGCCTAGATACAAAAGTAGGATTTGAAAAATGTTCATGCACATGGGCACAACATTTTGAAAAAATGTACCAACTTTGCAAAACAAGGGATAAATACCATGAAATGTTTGACACTTGACTTGAGTGCCAACTTCTAAAAAATCAAAATAAATCCACATTTTGTTCTCAAAGACTGCATCATGAAATTAAATCAGTCCAGTCAATAAAAAAAATTTCCGGCTTTTTTCTCTCAATGACTGAAGCATGAAAATAAATCAGCGCGGTCAATAAAAAAACGAAAAAATGTTAATTGGTCAGCTGAATCATTGTAAGTACATATAACGGGGTTGAACCAATGAAGATTTTTTAGAGTCTTACCGTGTGATAAATGCCCCAGGGAGAAGCGCTGGCAAAGCTGATAATCCAGATGACCAGGATGATCCGATTCGCGCGGCTTAGCTTCGTGCGACTGTCAAACGCATAATTGGTATTCAGAGGGCTGCTTTAACGGTACTTTGCAAGACGTTTCTATTTATACGTGCAAGTGACGTCTAAAAATGACTTTAAAAGACGCTCCAGTCGTTGTTCGTACTTTCTTTGGAAATTTGTGTTTAAGTTAAAGTAGAAGTTTATTGCTGAGTTTACTTCCAGTAAACTCAGCACTGCTGGTGCGGAAGAAATAATCGGGGAGAAACAATGCTCAGAAGTTTTCAAAAGTCTCCAGATCATTACGGCCTGCGCTCTGCTGTTGATCAAACGCCATCCTTTTTAAATAAAATTATGATTTACAACTTCTTAAAATGTGATGCTATATGTTTGCTCACCAACGGTAAAGGCTGAAATCGTCAGGACTGAGACGTAGGCAGGAGCTTCTGTGATCACGCCTCTCAATTGGCACATCCTCTCTCCGAAAAACCAGGGATATTGTTGCCAGAGTGTCAGCAACTCTAACGGCATTGCTGAAAAAATATCATCAGAAAAAAACCATGGCATCAATTTGAGATTTCTGGCATTGCTGAGTGATTGTTTAAAAAGAATCGCGTGATTGAACTGCTCAGAGGCGGCGGATTTTCCAAACTTTTGACTCGCCGAAGCGGCAAAAATGTCTCTCATAAAAAAATACAGACAGTAACGGAAGTAATGTATGTTGGAAATTAATTCTTAATTGCTGTGTTCAACTGCGATTTTGAACCGAGATATCACTTTTACTGCTTTTAGAAACCGTTTTATCACATGTCATGACATATTACTGTATAACCGACTCGAGGCCGTATACTAAGTTCTCAAAAGGAAATACACTGAGCCCGCTCCCTTCTTAAATTAAATTAATAAAAAAACAAGCTTAAATACGAATATAGAGCAAAAATAACTTCAGATGATTTGGTTTGCATATTTTTCGCTTTGAGAATCTATCATTTCAACCAGCAGCTGGAGACGCGTAGCAAAAAACATTGTAAAAGAACATTTTATCAAGCGTAGATTCATGAATAGAAAAAATACTCTAAATTGCTGCAAATCTTGGTGAAAGCCACGGAAATGTTTTGGCTCACGTCCGAAAAACGAGCTTCCGAATACATACAAGGAACCTTTTTCAAAGCAAGTTTCGCGCATTTTTTTTTCTATCAGGTTCAAAACGTTCGATATTATCCTATATATTAGCTATTAAAATATTTCGAGAGGAAGATACTGTGCTCTATACAGTACTTCTTCGAAATTTTAAAATTTTTCGTGATTGGCAAAGTTGGGTTATGAGTACCTTTAAACTTTCGGATTCTTTCCATACGCCCGTTCGTAGAAAACAAGTTTGTAGGTTATTCAGAGACTCAAGTTTGTGTATATAGTGGGGAATAAAGAAGCAGCAATCAATAAATCAGCCGGAGAGAAGGTCTCGATAACGGCATCTTCGAGAAGTCTACAGACTGAGCATTGATACGGAAAGAACTCTTTTTTTTACGCCTTTGAACCGAAGTTAAACCTAACTAGATTACGGTTTCCACATGGTCCACTTTGTCCCATAAAATAGCGGATGCGTAAGGCGTCTGAGCCGAAGTTTTCTCGGTTACCATGATTACTTGGCACTTGTTCCCTCACATAGGAAGGAAAGATTCAAGGGAGCATGTTTATTCTGCGAAGAATATTAGAAAAAAAAGACCGAATGTGTAGCTTTTATTTGGCGTTGGAATTTTTTGTGCAGGATTTTCAGCAGATTATGTCGGGAAGAATTTTGGGGAACGCCAGCGTTATTGACAAAATATCTCCCTCATTTTCCGAATGTCAGCGTTTCTTGTTTCAAGGGGGTTAGCTTTGCTTATCTCCACATCCAAAAATATCGAAGGCAAAAATTGGCACCTTTACTCTCCTGACCTGCCATCTCCTGTCATAAAAGCAGAGAGATTTCCATGGATAAATTTATCTTTGCATTTTTATGTTATCAAGGCTCATTTTGTATATTTAGAAAATGAAAAATGCATACAATTAATGTAGGGAAAAAATAATCTATACGCAAAAAAGCATTCATATTTGCCTGAACAAAAATGTAAACAACAAAAGTTTACTAGGAAAAAAACTGTGCAAGTTGTTGCAATGTTTGAGTTGTTGATATACAATCGTTGCACTGAGAGTTGTTGCTGTACAAATTGTTGCTGTGCAACTTATTGCTGTGCAAGTCATCCTGTAACCCCTAAAAACTACAATTGTGTGAAATAAATTCAGCTTTCTTCACCCAATGAGCAGAATAGATGAGTAAAATAACAAGGTAAAAAAATGCATGCATTGTTTGATCAGGTAACCAACACCATAATCCTGATAAACTTTTCAGATACTGAATTAAACATAAAATTTGTTCATGTAGTGCCTCATATAATCAATCCTATACGTGAACTTATGTGAGCCAATAGGAGAAAGCTCAAGAAAAAACAAATACAGCGCCAAAAATGGCCTTAATACACAATTTCTGATTTTCCTGCCTAGTTACTCATACATAGCATTAAACAGAATTTTGATTTTCCTTCATATGGGTTTGCTGAACGTCCGTTTTTTGAAACTTCAATACATTTTGTGGCGTCTTATTGGCATTTCTACAAGTCGTGTTCTATTGACTAAAGAAATGAGCTTTTGAATTCAAACATTTCAAAAGTGATGATCAGTTTCACGATTTACAAAGACGTCTGATAATATAATCCATGCTTTTGTACACGAGACATCTCTGCAAGTCTTTGGATTGATGTACAGTTTTTGCGTTTGAAGGAGATCTTAAGGTTTCTTCAAGCCGCCTCAATATATTGCAAGTTTTTGTTTCTTTCTTGAATGTGAAATGTCACAGAGTTGGTGAATCAATCACAATGCATTGTAAACTTTCAAGAAAAGGTTTTTGCAAATTTTACATTGCATATTACATTGAACCTTGATAACTTGAACCTCCTCAAGTTGAATACCTCCCTATAAGTCAACTTTTTCCAAGTTCCAGTCCGAAATCCCTTTGAAAAAATGCATCAGAAAACTTTTCTAGCTGAAGGTTTTTCCACTCAAACCTCCATAACTCAACTTTTTGAGAACTTTGGGTATTATTTTCTTGACACAGCAGGAATGAGAAAATCAATAAAGAAGGAATTCAATGTGTTTTGAAAGGAAGCAAAAGACAAACTGGGCAAATGAACCCTAGCCTCCAAGTTCAGCATCCTGTCAACACATTTAAAAAGCAATTTGAGGCCCATCAAAATACCATGTGTAATTTCCTGCAAGTCTCTTGTCTTTCCTAAAACAAAAATGCTTTTTTCGCACGAAATTTGTCTTAGGGATGTTAGGAAGTTCCAAAATAGATGAACAACAAGCTATATTGCAGTCAAATGAAAGAATGCACGTGTACTTCAATATAAGGTGGTACACTTATACACCTTATATTAATCTTTGTATCTTCCAGTATTCTGTTGGGGTATATAATGCTGTAGCTCCATTAACAAACTCATGGCATCACAACAGAAATTTTATTAGGTTCTAGAGAGTTTTTAAGGGGTGTACTGTATTTAGTGCATTGTAAATATACTGGTTACTTCATCACCTGAATATATTTTTTTAAATGCCCAGCATTCTATGCCATCAGAACTGAATTTTAAAACATATCAGATTTTCACCGTTCTTTGAAAACGTTCACTGACATCTAAGAGGACACAGAAAAAATGTACGCTCTGCATTATTTCTCCACATGTATTCTTTCTAAATATTTTTTCAATTGATAATTTTCTGGGAACAGGCTGAATACTTTGTGCTTTAAATTGCACTCACTATAATTGCTGGGTGTGAAGAATTTCTATGAAAAAGGGATTACAATGAAAGAATACATGCTCATGTATGTACTGTTATGTACTTTTTATTTAATTTATTTTCAATGCATGTGAGTACTGCTTAGGAGGAGGGAATGGAGCGAAGTTTTTTAAACATTGTGGATGTTGACAAGTGCCAAATACTGTAAAACATTCATTTATCTGCCTGTATAAGGTGCACGATCAATAGGCAGGTGGATTAGTGTATAGTCATTAGTCAATCACTCAAAAATAATTTTCGAATCCACAGAGAAATTGGCAAAAATGCCTCACCAATGCAAGAGCTGAACATGTCCGCGATGCTGAGGTTGAGCAGGTAGAAATTGGTCGCATTATGCATATAACGCTTCTTGGCAATCACGAGACACGTGAAAAAGTTGCGTTGCTGTGGTCACTGCTCGTCTTGTCGTATTCGACGGCACTACCCGCGGTTGCAACTGTAACCGTTGGAACGACCCGGGTTCTCTGTAAGGTTGTTGCCGCGGGTTAGGACGTCGGCGGGGTGTCATGCATTGCCCACGTCCACCCCTGGCATGGTCAAGTTCATACAGAACGTGAACGCCTCCAGGGTCTCGGGAGAAACCCGGTCTTCGGCTAATTCCCCGCTTTCTGTGACCTGGTCCGAGGTCATCCTGGATGCGGTGGTTTTAGTGATTTTTCTTCGTTCTCAGACCCGCTTTTGAGTCGGGGCCGAGACTGTAAGTGACACTGAGAAACTGATCACTTTGTAAGCACAACCACGAGCATCACCTTGACTTCGTTGTATTTGGGAGAAAAAAATAAATAAAATATTAAGAAGATCTATTTGGATTTACAATACTGTACATCCTTTAGATCATGTGTCACAAAAACAGAACAAGACACGATATACGGTATTCAAAGCACTGTACAATAAATGCAGTAAATAAAATCTTTTATGAAGATCGGCGCATCCATTGATACATATATCAATTGAAAAATGGTTTGTCATAGAATTCCTGACATTTCCTGACTTAAAACATTGAACCCAATTATCCTGAGTATTCAAATACGAAAGGGACTTGCCTCATGCAATATGAACCGAATGTGTTACACTGAGTAACCTTGTTTTTTTTAGATGCATTTCACCAAACAGGCTGTTTGCATCAGAAAATTGATTTTTTTTAACACAAATATAGTAACAATGCGGATTGAAGCGCTTTCATTATCTCTAAATTCGCAAATTCACAAATGTTCGAGAAACAGGAGTCAATTGTTTTATTTTTCAATATACTGTAAACTCCTGTTTGAAAAAGGAGGACAAAGTTTAAGCAGCCTTCACAAAAAGAAAGTGAGACAAAACGGATGAATAACAAGATTTAAATCTAGCGAAAAACGGCACAACACCCCATTTCCCCAACAATACCTTCGAATCACTAAATTCTGAATTTTTGAATGCAAGGAAACTTTATTTTCAATCATTTTTTTGGAAATACAGAATTTCTGTTCATTTTGACGAAGTCTGTCCTCCAGTGTGATTCCCTTTTTAAAGAACTGTTGGCTGATTGCATGGAATTCTTCATTATATTAGGTTATTGTTGCTTGAGCAACTTCTGTTGTTCATATTAAGAAATAAATTACTGTATTTGAAAGATCATTCAACACTGAACTCATCAGCACATTGAGTTAATCATGCTGATAACGTTCAGCTAATCATTGGTTTACACTTTTATACGTTTGGGCATGAAGCAATGCCTGGCCACTTTTTTTTTACACTAATTTGTGCTCTTCGTATCCGCCTAAAAATTGTTATTCTCCCATATTAAATTTAATATAATTTAATATAAAGCTTTTAAAAAACGTTTATAGGCATGAAAAGTGTCCATGCCCAAACGTATAAAAACTTTTCTGGGTTTCTCTTTTTGTCGATCCCTCGTAAACATTATTATGAATTTTGTAATCATGAGTATATGCAGACTATTTGAGCCTGACATTTTAGGACTAACTCTTGTGGGACAAATTTGGGATATTTTTGCCCAATCAGGTGCCCATGAGCACTGGAAATGGTAAAATATCCCAATTTTGTACCAAAGCCTAAGTTGTGAAAAAGTCTTTTACTTTTTTATAATCCTGTAGGAAATTTTTCATAAAATTAAAAATGTCCTCAATATGTCGAAGGAAATTTCTCCTGCATTCCTAGAACAGGATTAGCATTAAACATTCTTCAAAAAATAGAAAACTTGCCTCCTGCATTTTTCCCAACTCTTAGGTCTTCCCAATGTACCTGAGAGCATCTCACTGTTTCAGTAGCGACCTTTAGTCAAACTGAAATGTGCCACCCACTGCAAAATCCCAACTCTGTCATGCAATATGAAGGAATCCTCTGCCAACAAAGGGTTGAGTAAGAGAAAACCTTGGTGTTTTTTTTTAAGGGTGCTGATTCACTGATTTGTTTCAAAGTGGCATCCTGCACTTCCACATCTGCATTCTGCACATTGCAGAATCTTTTTTTTTCAATGTCCTCGAATAAAAACAGCAGAAAATTTATTGTTAGATGATCCCGGAATATTCTTATGAATCATTGAAATGGGGCATTGTGTGGGCAGTTCTTCACAATATATATGAGCGGTACTATTATAGGGACAGCTCTGGAAAAAGCGCCATAAACCCTCGGGAGAAAGGGCATCACAAATTTAAAAACATTCCTTGGAGTCAATTTTTTCCAGGTGACCAGTTTTCTTTGCAATGCAAATATAATGAGTCAAGCATTATATTTATGTCAAAAATAAAATTTTCAAGAATCAAAGAAAAGAGTGCAATATCACTTTGCATTAAAAATGGAAAAAATGCAAGTTTTTAAAATGACAATGAACATGCAGTATTCTGAATCTATGATAGAGAAGAAAAATGCTAAATTATTTAGTTAGAGAACAAATGGAATAATTGCCCCCAACTCCTTTCAGAAAAATTAACCCTTGACTGGTGGCGGGTCCTTTTCCATTGCATTGCGGTGCCAAGATTTTTTTGCAAGCCTGCGCATTTCAGTTAGAGTGAAGGTCAACAAAGCGCAAATTCAACTGAGTAGTCAAAGTTGGGAAAAATCCAGGTGAGGAAAAGCCATTGTTCTGAAACTCCCCCAGCAATGCTAATCCTACGGCAGGAATGGGGAAAAAATGTCACCCATCAGTAATTTATCTTCTTTTTTGACAAAATTTGTTTCGAGGAATGGTAAACAAAATGGTGATTTTTCTGGCTTTGCCTCTTCTATAAACCTTCTTGTTTCCCTCCTCTTTTTTTATCCGTTGGGGCGTACAATTTTGTTGATAAATGCCAGCACCACTGCCCAATGGTTAATTCCAAAGGGATATTTTTAAAAACGTTGTGTCCCATTTCCTTTGAAGTGGTTTTTGAACACCTCTAGATTTTTAACATTTACTTACAATTTCTGTTGGTGAAATAATGGCCTATGATAAACCAAACACAGGAAATGTTATTGCAGCGTTTGATAAAATTTACCCTCAAGTTAGACATGTACCTTATTATTCTTTTCGGATAAATTTCCAAATCATTTGAGTAAATACATTTAACGAGAAAAATATATGAGGATCATTTCAAAGCACTTCAATGTCGTGAGCTACAGCGGGAAAGTTGATCAGAAAACAACAAAAAAGAGGCAAGAGCGATGCAATTGTGCCCTTCTTTTTACAAATTAGTTGGACAAGATTGTTTGAATCACTCCGGGATATTTCAAATTTGCCCGTACATTCAATCGTTGCCGTTTCCAGCACATTCGACCACTGAAGAAGCGATCTCGAGGCTCGAACAGCAAGGGGAACTGCGCTGCTGTACAGGCTATTTCTTCAGAAGGAATGCAAGCAAAAATTACCGAGTCACTTGTTTTCTCTATATAATTCTCACTGATTCAAGTATTTTGTTATTTTTGTATCGCGATACCCCATACACACGGATGAAATAACATCATCGCGCGCGTCGCACTGAGCGTGGATCAGCTATAGCCTCCAGGGCAAGAGATTTTCGCCAGCGTTGGGATTGGATCTGCGACTGCGTACTTCATGGCCCGCGAATGGCCCTGCTGCTGCTTTCCGAAAGTTTAGCATGGGAATATACTGTACTGTGCTGCCCTTGCTCATGTAAAGTTGAACCTGGCTAAAAGAAAGTAAACTCAATGTATTTACCGATAATTTGTTTCAAGTCCCTGTCTGAATTATAATGCAATAGGCATTACTCCAGCTGCATGGAAGGATTTCCTACTCAAATCAGACCTCCAAAACTATAATTTTCTGGAGGTCTCTTGGCCATTGTTTTATTGACACAGGAAAGAGAAAAGGATGGCAATGTAACTTGATTTGATTTCAAAGGAATAGTAGAAGCCTAATTGGGAAAATATGAACCCTAGGACCCAACTATACTGTAGCATCCTGTTAACTCATTTATGAAGCAAGTTCTGGCCGAAGATTTCCTGTCATTATTCTTTCTATCCCAAAACACAAATGAAGAATTATCTACCTCATTAAGTTCCTTACTTGAAATGTTGCTGGTCCCTAGATATTTGACTAAATTTATTTTTATTTTGGAAGAACACGCAGCTTCTTTTATTCTCTTCCCCTGAGCTCACATAACATGACGGCAGGCGGGACCATTTTTTATAGTTAGACGGAATAGCTGCGAAAAATTGTTCGCCTTGATCATGGATGAAAGCCAGCCAAGAAGAAGTTGCTGCTGAGACCGTATTGGGAAGATCACC